TGCCTAAGGAGACAGATTCAAAAAATCTAAGACCAGTGTCAAAGAGTTTACTGCCTATGTTTTCTTCTAGGAGTTTTACAATTTCAGGTCTTACATGTAAGTTTTTAATCCATTTTGAGTTTATTTTTGTATATGGTAGAAGAAAGTGATCCAGTTTCATTCTTTTGCATGTAACTTTCCAGTTTTCCTAACATCATTTATAAGAGATGGTCTTTTCCTCATTTGATATTCTTGAATCTTTTGTCATGGATTAATTGACCATGAAAGCATAGGTTTATTTTTGGCCTCTCTATTCTGTTCCATTGATCTGTGTATCTATTTTCGTGCCAGTATCATACAGTCTTGATTACTATCATTTTGTAGTATATTTTGAAATCAGAAAGCATGACACCTCCAGCCTTGTTCTTCTTTCTCAAATTATCTTTGGCTATTTGGGGTCTTTTGTGGTTCCATATAAATCGTAGGATTGTTTGTTCAAGTTCTATAAAAAAAATGTCATTGGTGTTTTGATAGAAATTGCATTAAATCTGTAGATTGCCTTGGGTAGTATGGACATTTTTTTGATGTTAATTCTTCTTATCCATGAGCATGGTGTATCTTTCCATTTATTTGTGTTGTCTTCAATTTCTTTCATCAATAGACATAGTTTTCTGAGTATATTTTTCTTTCTTCACACCTTTGGTTAAATTTATTCCTGAGTATCTTATTCTTTTTGATGCAATTGTAAATGAGACTGTTTTCTTAATTTATTTTTCTGACAGTTTGTTATTAGTGTATAGAAATCCAACAAATTTCTGTTTATTAATTTCATATCCTGGAACTTTACTGAATTTGCCTATTAAAATAGTTTTTGGTAGAGTTTAGAGTTTTCTGTATATAGTATTATATCATCTGCATATAGTGACAGTTTTACTTCTTCTTTTGCAATTTGGATGCGTTTTATTTCTTTTTCTTGTCTGACGGCTGAGGTTAGGACTCTCAATACTATGCTGACTAAAAGCAGCAAGGTGGGCATTCTTGCCTTCTTCCTACTTATAGAAAAAAAAACTTTTGCCTTTTACCATTGAGTATGATGTTTGCTATGAGTGTGTCATATATGGTGTTTATTATGTTGAGGTATGTTCTATCTATATCTACTTTTTTGAGAGTAATAAATAGGTGTTGAATTTTGTCAAATGCTTTTTATGCATCTATGGAGATGGTCATTATAACTTTTTTATCTTTTGTTTTTTAAAGCAATATTTTATAAGTTGCCCTTAAAGAGGAACTGTCTTAGTTTGGACTGTTACAAAATAATTACCATAGAATGAGTGGCTCAAACAGCAAACATTTATTTCTCATAGTTCTGGAGATTGTGAAGTCTAAGATTGAGATGCTGGCAGATCTGATGTCTGGTGACAACCCCCTTTCTGGTTTGCAGATGGCCATCTATATCATTACATGGTGAAGCAAGTTCTCTTTTCTCTTCTTATAAGGGCACTAATTCCATTAAAAAAAAAAAAAAAAACTCCATCTTCATGGCCTAATTACCTCCCAACGGCCCCACTCCCTAATACCATCACATTACAGGTTAGGAATTCAACTTACAAATTCAATCCATAACACACACTCAATTGCATATATTAACACTAAAAGAAAAAAACTTCTTGGATGTTTCTTACTTTTGGAAAGACTTTTATATTAATGGTCATTATAATCAAAATCAGAATAAGTCAATCAAAAGGTATTTTTATAATGATTTAATACTTGTTCTGAAAGAAATCATATGGATTATATTTATATATAATATACATGTTTATGTTCAGAATTCTTTTAGTAAGCCTTAGGACGCTATTAGCTTTTCTTGGCTAAATAAGCTATTTATCTATCTATAAAATTTAAAAATGTATTTATTTATTCTCCATTGCTTACATTATTATAAATAAAAATCATAACATGTTAAATTTGGGATATTTTGAGAATATTGAAAATAATAAGAAAAATATTATTACATAGTATATAGAGCTAGCCATCTTTAAAAAATACAGAGTAGCATAATTTCTTCCCATTCTGCTTTGATGCAGTTTTACATGATTGAGATTACACTGCACAGAGTAAGAAAAGGTCCAACTTACTGAATACTTCCCAAGTGCCAGGAAAACTGCTAATTGCTTCACACACATTGTATCAACATCCTATGAGCCTACGTATTTTATACCCATTTAATAGATAGAAAAACCGAGAATTAGTAGGTTTAAATAAGTTGCCTAAGGCTATATGAGCTAGTAAATGGCCAAACTGAGACTTTAGCACAAGGTTGCCCAATGTTAAAATCTGTATTCTCATCCATTATGTTTATATAATTTTTTTATTTACCATTATAACTAATTTTTCCTGTCATTGGCAAATCATTGTAAATATCGTGTAAATAAAAATTTTCAAAGCTCCTGTATAATTATTGGACTGAGCCGTCCAGTCAATGAGTAATAGTATTTCAAAAATTTTTGTAAGTTTTAAAAGTAAAAATGGAATATCATTGTTCAAGTTAAAATGTATTTGGTTACTAGAAACTTTGAATATTTTTATACGCTTATTAGGCATTTGTATCTCTAAATAAATATATTTCTCAAATAAGCACAACATAAATTGGAAACTACAAAGTGACTCTTTGGAACAAGCATAGTTATTACCTCACTGATTCCAGTTATATGAGGCAGGTACAGTAGGTAGGAGTGTTAGAGGACCTTATAAAAAGGTCTGAAAATATTTAGATTTGTTCTCTTTCATTATTTCAAATCCAACTAGTTCAACAAAATTAGTAAATCTATTCATTTTTGCCTGATACAGGCTGACTTAATGGAGATATGACTAGTAATTAGTATTTTATTTCTTACATATGTTATTTATGTAAAATTCCTAAAGATAGTTGGTTCTAAGACTTTAAAATTATTTCCTTAAAATCTTGTTTATATCATTAATTTTTATATCTAAAAAAACAGTAAAAGAAAAAGATATTTTCTAAATAAAGATAAATGCCAACTAAACCCTTAATTAAAATATCACAAAATCATGAATTAATGCAGTTTTAATGCATTTCCAATACTTGGTTATTCTGATTTCCTCTCTAGCTACACTATTTTCACTGGAATCTATTTCACACAAGAATTAGAACCGTTGATGCATTTAGTTTCATTTATCTAGTGACAATATCTAAGTTATCTGCCTAGGCAAATTATTTTCTTGATCGTAAATCTAATTTTGGTTTCATCCTCCAAGTCACTTTAATTCATTTCCTATATATCTTCTTAAAGGTAATTATGAAAGCAAAAAACAAAACATTATGGATATATTGTTATAAAATGTGGAGAAAATATCACTTCTAGAAAGACATATATGTTTTTACTTAGTTTTAGTGAATTATGACCTTGGAAGTTATAAGAATATGCCACAATGATTTAGCACCTAGAAGCCGCAGAAGGGTAGAGAGATGTATGGCTGATAGGCTGGGAATTTTGTGATTTGAGAGGTGCGTAAATGGGTGGCAATATCTTGCTACTTTAAACATTCTGCCTAGTTACTGGTAAAATGCGCACTGTGTTAATGGCTTGTTTCATGGGAGAAGCTTTCACATTTACCTAACGTTTACGTAAAATTTAAGCTGCACATAAATATATATTTAATTCGATTTACTGGATCAGATGTCTACATTTTCCTGAATTTCCTTATTAACAGTTTTCTTAAAGTTTATCTCTCTTTGTATAGGCTTGGCTTGAGAGAACCAATCTATATCATGTCTACAAAGGAAATAAATTGCATACTTTTTAGGCTATAAAAATAACAACAAACCTCACAAATTTTCAGTAGTTGTTATTTAAGAGATGAACTTCAATGGAAAAAATCGGAGGTACTAAAAAAGATATGAGCTTCTGAAATTGGACAAGAGTTCCATCTAGACAAGTCCATTGTGTATATTATGCCAACATACACAGTTGGAAATGCAAATTAGCACAACCTTCCTGGAAAGTGATTTTCCCAATGAATCAAAAGTCTTAAATGTCTTAAACGATGCATAAGATACCTGCTATAGTATTATTTACGTTATAACAAGAAAAAAAAGAAACATGATTAATTAGTAGAAAAAAGATTTGTGACAATGTTCAGTTAAACATGATCTATGTAGTACAAACTCAATGATGTTAACATATGTGTAAAGATGCATTTGTATGTGTGTATAAGTATCTAAAGAGCAAAAGTTTTTGACTAACTCTCAGTAATAGAAATACTGGTGATTCTTCTTCATATTATTATGTATTTTTCTCTATTGATCATATAGTCCTATAAATATCAGAAAAAATATTTAAAAATACAGGGGGCAGGAGCAACACTAACATCTTAATGAAACTCAAATGCCACTATAGCTTATATTTTTGGGTTTAAATGAGCTGACAGAACCACATATCTTAGGTCTTTTTAGTAATATCAAATAATACAATTTGATCTTAAGGTTTTAGAAAGATGCCTAATATACTTTTTGTCTCTTAGAAGGTAAAAATACACGTAGATATCAAATCATAGCTAAAGTAAATATTATCTAAAGGCAACTCTAGTATTTAGGTTACTAACAAGCTATGTTTTTCAATTATCTTCTTTGTTTTTCTTTTCTTTCATTATCTCCTAAAATTGTAGTATAAATTAAGGGAAGCCATCTTCATTAGAATTCATTCACTTAATTAATAAATACTTTTCAAGCACTTGCTATGTCTTTAAGGCACCGGGGATTCTGCAGTGAAAAGAATAAAGTTCTTGTTTGGTTGAGGAACAAATGTTATTTCTATCATGTCATGACAAAGTGCTAAGAATGAAGCAATATTCATTAGTATGTTATACTGTATCAATAATAGAAAATGAAAGTTACAAATTTCTTTAACAAAGAATATAAAAGAATCACCTTTATTTATTCTAAGGCATGTATTTTTTCTTATTTGTTTAATTAAGGAAATTAAAATTACTTGATTACTTACCCCAATATTAAACATCCCTGTAAAATATTCCATATTTGCTTGAATGAACCAAATGTTGCTTAGGCCTAGTTCATCACTTCTCTTCTTAGCACGAATTAATGATAATTCCTTGTTTTCTATTAATGTAACCTAGATTTCATCCAGGAAACAAAATATACTCAGTAACAATTCAGACCTTAGGACAAAGTATTATTGCTCTTACATAGCTTTAATAATGTAGAACATATTATATTGATCCCTACCCTGTGCCAGGAAGTATGCCAGATAATGAGATACAAAAATGAACAAGGTCCTTAGTCTACGGCCATGCTACCCTGAATGTGCCCGATCTCATCTGATCTCAGAAGCTAAGCAGGGTTGGGCCTGGTTAGTACTTGGATGGGAGACCACCTTGGAATACCAGGTACTGTAGGCATTAGAAAAATAAATAAATAAACAAGGTCCTTAAACCCTTGAAGCTTACAGTTGTAGTGACATAAGCGAAACAAGCAATTATAATACGGTGATAAGTGCTTAATGAAAGACATATAATGTGTTATCAAAGCACTCAAACTTGATGACCAAGGAAGGTTTCAGTCATTTAATATGGAAAAGGAGCATATTAACTGAGGCCTGATCAATGAATAGAAATTAGCTGGGGGGATGAAGGAATGTTTCAGGCAGAAAGAAAAGCATGTATGAAGGCCTGAGGTGAGGAAAATGGTGTGAAGAACGGAGAAAATTGGCATAGCCAGGTCACAGTGTGTGATGGTGATGGAGGGGATGGGGGTGGACACTGTGTGGAGGGTGGAAATAAGGCTGGGAGAGGTAACAAGAGCCAGATCATGGGTGAGAAAAGCAGTTTCAGTTGCTGCAACGTATAGTACAGTTTGGTACTGTACTATACGTTGCAGCAACTGAAACTGCGGCGAGGAGGAAGGCAGTGCAACCAGTTAGAAGTCTCTCACAGTAATCCAGACCAAGGAAGGTAGCAGAGGATCATTGGTTTGGATGGAGAGAAGTAAGCAGAATTAGGTCTTTATGAAAAAATCCTGGATCTCCCTGTATAAAAAAACCTGTCAGAGTACACGTGGCGTCCAAGGCTTTCCAGCTTTTATTCTAGCCAAGACTTCCCTTTTCCAGCTTTAACATCTCTGTTTCCAGTAAAACGGTTAGGATGGGAAAAAAAGGCACCATATACCTGACCCTGTTTTTCCAGGATTCTCCTCTATGAGTTTTCCTCCTCTTACTCCAACCATGAAATCATTGCTTTCCTTAAAAATAAGACAGATACCTGCCTGTTTCTCCCAAGAGTCCTTATTTATTTTGCTCTTTATTTTCTAAGGAAAAGAAAAATATGGTCCCACTAATGGCCATCATTCTCACTAGTCTAAGAGTTCTTCCACATTTTTTCTTCTGGGAGCGGAGTAATCACTGTAATTATTTTACACTATCCAGAGAGCTCACATGCAGAAAATCTGACCCAATTCAACTGTATTTTTTGAAAAAGTGACATCAAATTCTAGAATTTCATGTTAAAAAATGGTCACTGTGAGGGAATTATTTAATATTGCAGAAGACTAAAAATAGTACAAACTTCTATTAAATAGTGACAACTGCATAAATTATGGTACATTTCCTTAAAAACATATTATGTAGTCACATTTTAGTGATATTTTAATGAAAATATTTAAAACTATTTGCAATAGGAAAAAACATTTATAATACAAAATTGAATAAAAACAGGTGATGAAAATTGCATTTGCATTTTTAGAATTTGCAACAACAAGCATGGATGGTAACTTAATAAGAACATGGAGAGAAAATCGTTTGATGGATCAGTGTGGTAGATTGGAGTTTATTCTTTTCCTTTAAAATTTTTTTTATTTGTTGTTACAATTTTTATCCATTTTTCCTTTAAATTCTTTTCCTTTAAAATTTTTTTATTTGTTGTTACAATTTTTATCCATTTTTACAATGGATAAAAATCAAGATACCAAAATAATATGCTCGACAAGTTTCAAAAGTTAGTATTTCCAGTATAAAATTATGTTGACTAGTAAACTAGTTTTATCATTATTTTATTTCACAATGAGATTCTTTATTTTTAAAATTATTTTGAAATATAACCCTTTTACAAAAATTGAAAACTATTGTGATCCTATAACACATCTTTTTCCCTTAAGATGCTGAATCTTAGTTTGGATAAAAAAAAGAAAGAAAGAAAAAAGAAAAGAAAGAAAGAAAGAGAGAGAAAGGAAGGAAGGAAGGAAAGAAGGAAGGAAAGAAGGAAGGAAAGAAGGAAGGAAAGAAGGAAGGAAAGAAGGAAGGAAAGAAGGAAGGAAAGAAGGAAGGAAAGAAGGAAGGAAAGAAGGAAGGAAGGAAGGAGGGAGGGAGGAAGGAGGGAGGGAAGCGAGGGAGGGAGGGAAGTGAGGGAGGGAGGAAAGAGAGGAGGGAGGACCTGTGCCACATATTTGACCTGAGTGAATGATTACAAACTTAAAGAGCAGGGAAAAGCAGACCCAGATAACTGAATTATGCCATTTTCTGATGCTTCCTTTTACCTATTATTCAGACTTTACCTGGCATGCAGGCAGCATGTGAGCAAGCACAATCCCAACATGGCCCTAAAAGGAGAAGAAAAAGAAACTTTAACATTGGTCCCTAAGGCTTTTGCTCTTTCTGAGATAACAATCTTGCCAAATAAAAGCATGACCTTGAATGTAATATAGTAAAGTCACATAGTCTGGGAAAGGCTAAATAGAATACAAGGAGAGATGTAATACCCCACCACTGCAGAAATCCACAATTCTGTCACCAGGTTTGGCCTGATTTGTCACCACATACACAAGGTTGTTTAACTGTTGCTGCTTCCTCAAAGCTCGATCATACGGCATTTTACCTGAGAATGATAAGAGATGAAGAAAATGAAACGTGTATTGTGTGGGACTGAGAAGGCACTCCTAGAATAGACTACCAGCATTAATTAGAAATTCCATATAATTCACTATGAGAAGACTAGAAAACTAGAACCCAGAGATAAACTCTGTTATTGCTCATTTCTACTTTTAACCTTATCCAACTTTTCTTTCAACAGCCATTGACAGAAAATCTATGAACCAAGTCTTCTAAAGAGATAGGACAGTAAGTGAAACATTAAGTTCAGAGTCATAAACAAAGTAATTGTTCAATAATTGTTTATCAGATGAATAAAAACAATAATAGTCTCTTCCTTCTATTCCTCTCAGACACCTATTGTAAAAATTACCTAATTTCAGCAGATTAATTAAATCTCTTTGAGGAAAGAGATCTATAATAAATAAAAACATTTTTATTATTTAACTGGCACGACTTTTGAGCTCTTAATTCTCCTGCTTAGGGCACTTGGAACACAGATGTCACATTGTCTGAAATATATCAGTGGTTATTATATTTAGAGAGAAATTGAATTTTCCCATTTCTGCTTTGAAGCTTCCTTTCCTCATGAGTCAGACACAGAAATTTAATGCAATTAGAGATTAAAGATAGGGTATTTCCAAGTATGAAATGCCTTGGACCTAGAAGCATGAAAACGTATGAACTTTCCTTTCAAAAGCCACTAGTCAAGTTCATGAACATATCATGTGAAGAATGAATGAAATTATTTGTTTTTACATATTTCAACTGCACTTTTTATAATGTAAGATTAAGAAAATGTAAAAAAACAGATTTCCATGATACAGATAAAACACCCAAATAATCTTTTTGGTTTGAACCAGCATTTTTTATAGATACCAAGATTTCTCTATTCATTTTCACAGGAAAACAGCATGGCTTTTTTTTTTTTCTTTTCTTCTCTTTTTTGTTTTCCTTTTTTCTTATGTTACTAAAATAAAAACATTGGGAAGCTTTTATTTTAGGAAAAAATGAAAAATGTGGATAAAAACAGATCTATATGAGAAAAAAGATTCATAATCTCATAATTCAGAGGTAATATCTTTGTATATATATTCTTCTAGCCTTATTCATAAATCCATAATTTTCTAGACAGCATATAAAATATAACAAATCTTTCCATATTGATGTATACCATATTTATTTAACTAATTTCCTATTGTGATGATGTGGTTATCATCATACAGCTGAACTGTTGTGCATATTCTTAATTATTTAGCATGATCTAATGTGAATTTCAAACATGAAGAGTATTTAAATCAATAGTCTGCTGACTCCATTGTGAAGACAATTTTATGCAGCTCTAAAATAAATTATTTTCACTTCTTTCTAATAATATAATTGTAAAAAATTTAAAGAATTAAGTAAAAAATCTCTGTCATCCTACCCTTCGTGGATAACCACTCATAAGAGATTTTATTATAATAATTTTCAAATACATAGAAATATTGAAAGATTCTTAAATGAATGCCTTTATACAGTCCACCTAGATTCTACCATTAACAACTTACTATACTTGGTTTATCACACTTGTATCCATCTATTCATCCCTTTATGCATCCATTCATAAATCCACCTTATTTTTTATGGCACTGAAGTTTTGATTTGGAGAATGAAGAATAAGAACTCGGAAGGGGAGGAAGAAAAGGTAGGGGGGTCAAGGGCAAAAAAGCAAAATACTATGAGCCCCTTGGGAGAGCTAGAGTCACAAATGCTGCTATTAAATGGAGCCACCAAGCGGCAAGGAATGAACACAAGCATTTTAGTCTTTGTTCTGTTTGTAGATTTCCTAACAATTCTTAGCCAAAGATTTTTCATAAAATAAAGCCAAAAGGAATTAAAGAGATAAGAAAAGAAAATGTATTTAATGGAAATTCTAATAGCAAGATCTCTACCATATTTCTCTTATACATATAGGATTATCTTTAGACTTTCTTAGGTCTGTTTCAAGAGTAAATGCCGATGAAGATGTTTTTCTTGCTAAGACTGCATATTTGCATAGAAAGAATTCATACTGAAATGAAGGTTGAAGGCAGAGAGTACTGTTTAGGGTTGTGTTTAAATAGAGACTATTAAGCTGTACATACTATTCACAGATTGAGCTAAAAATGATGCCCAGATGCTTTATGGAAAAACTGCCTCTAATAAAACATTCTTCCTCCCCATTCCAGTTTTATAAATATTATGAAGCTCCTAGAAACATGAACAAGATTTCAAGTACATTGAACAAGGTAAGAAAGTGGTATTTTGAGATACAATATTAATTTAAAAATCAAATTCTACTTTTGATTTATATCCAATATTCTTGTGCCTTAGACATCATTTACAAGCATAAAATTATAACTTACTTTTAGGTTGACTAAAAATAATGATTCTTTAGGTGTCATCATGGAAATAAAACCCAAGAATTAAATGTTTTAATACAAGTGACCACTTTTGTTCTGTGATATAATTCTCCCACATTGAAGACTTCTTGTCTAATTCAAGTTAAGAGGAACTTGATGGTTTAGACAGCCTCAATGGTGTTTGCATTGACCAAAAAGAAAGTACAAGAATAAAGGAGACAATTTTTAAGCTAAGGAAGAGCTATATTGGAACACCAGCATTTTTGATCAATACAAGACATCAAAAAAGGCAAAACGAAACAAACAGACAAATAAAACCATGGATGGAAAATGAGCACATGTGCAAGCCAGAACACCTGCTCAGTCTAGTAAACTATGCTTAAGATCAGGCAGCTTTTAAATTTTTGTTTCTTAGTCTGAAGTACCAAAGTACCAGGAATGTTATAACATACTGGGAAAAGGAAAGGGTTTGGTTCTTGGACACACTCACATTAGACCTCTTTACTAAAGGCTTCCTTCCGCCTTAAGAAAAAACTTATGACTTCTTGGGAGGAAAAAAACCAAACCACACACATGTACACACACACACACACACACACACACACACACACAACCAAACCTCTTATACTCTGGGACCTGTTAGTTTGCCATCCTCATATATATATGTATATGTACATATATATGTATGTATACGTGTTTATATATGTGTGAGTATATATATATGTAAATATCCCCTATGTTTCAGCTTTTTTGAACATCAGACAGAGAAAGACAAATACCACATGATCTCGCTTATATGTGGAATCTAAGTGAACAGATTGGTGGTTGCCAGAGATGGGGGTTAGGCAAAATGAATGAAGAGAGTCAAAAGGTCAAAAGGTATAAACTTCCAGTTATAAAATAAGTAAATCATGGGGATGTAATAATACTGTATTGTATATAAGTAGATCTTAAAAGTTCTCATAACAATTTAAAAAATTCTGTAACTATGTACGGTGACAGATGTTAACAAGACCTATTGTGGTGATCATTTTAAAATATATACAAATATCAAATCAGGTATACCTTAAACTAATGTATGCCAATTATACCTCAATAAAAAATTGGAAACTATAAAATGATACCTAGGCACAATCAATTATAATATGCCAAAAAAAAATTAGCTAAAATTGCTTCTGTCTCCCTGAAATAGAGATTATTTTTCCTGGAACCATGTAAACTTGGGTCTAATTAAATGGAAAGAATATTAGGAAACTGATAGGCACATAACAGATGTTCAATAAAAGTTTAATGAATGAAATTTCTCTGCACTTATGACTTAAAACTGCATTCCAAGGCAGTATGCTAATTTTTGCAGATACCAAGTATGAAACAAGTTAGATATCAATGCTATGCCCGTATTTGTTGAAATAGTAAAAGAAGTCAACTATGAAAAAGTGTTTTAGGAGGGAATGGAAAAGTTTCTGGAAATTTTTGTGAGGAAATAAGAAAGCAGCCATTTAAAATCTATATCAAAAGCTAGAAAGGCAGGAACAAAATTCCTCAAGAAATTCCTGAGAAGATGAAACTAAGTGGCAACATAAAGTTTATACTTTTGGTTAAGGCAAAGTTTTAAACTTTGGAGATGAGTTGTTGGAAATACTAAACATTTACAATAGTTCTTTTGATTTACTTTTTGTAAAGCCAGTTGCAGGCTAGCATCACTAATCCTCTTAACCATGCTGACCTCATAGTGACAATATTCTTGCAACAGTGAATTTTAATAATCTGATGCCCTTTCCATATTTCCCCCACCGCCAGTCCATTCACACATCCTACAGTGCAGTCTATGAAATCAACAATGGTGTACCAAACAGTGTGATGGTATTTTCACCTAGACAGTTTTGTTATATATACTATTGGAACACTTAGTAATTGTTAACTAGAAATTCAAAATGTTAAACAAGGCGGATTTATTCCCCTGTAAACTGAGGAATAATGACTTCGCAAATATCTTTCTCAATCAATTATTCAACCAAGAAATCAACCAACCAACTTGAGCTACACAGAGCTGTTGTAGACGGTGTTAGAGACACAAAGACATCTAACGCTTGGTTTCTGTCCTTAATGAAAGTATATATCTTGTTTAATTGGTATAAAATATTACATTTGAGCTTAGAAAACATATCTTATTAACCAGACTGTATTTATAACAAAAATTTAACAACCATAACTTACAAAAATCCATATATCTTTCATCAAAGCTTCTAAAATGATTGATAATACTTTCTGTTTATATCATGCTTTGTAATTTATTCAGCAGTTGCATATTTGACATATCATCTAACCTCAGAACTCTGTCAGATTATGAGAGTGGATGACACCTTCCTTATTTTACAATAAGGACACTGAACACTACAGAGGTTGCTCAAACTTAGCACTTGCTCAAAGACACACACAGCTGGTAAGTGGCGAAGCTGGACTCTAATCAAGGATTTCTAACTTTAGGTTCAGTCTTCTTTCCTATATGATCTGTTATTCCTCGCCCTCCTCTCCGCTTAAATTTCTCCCCTCCCCCAGACACTTCCACCCCTGACCTATGGATGTTGCCGTTTCCCCTTAAGAACTGGCTCTCTGAAGGCGG